GCCCAAACCCGGTCAGACCGGGGTTTGTGCAACTTTAATGTGTGGCCACGAAAGGTTGGCACTCGAATTGGGCGAAACAGTCCAGTCAAATCAGGACCAATCTGACCCATCAATATCATCATCATCATCAACAGCAGTACATCAGCCATTTGAACTGATGCTTCGCTGCCATACAACCATGAGGACCTATGAAATAAAGAATAAGAAGAGGGAGAGAAAGGGGGACTTACCTGAAAACCTTAATGCCCTAAGCAAACATTCAGGGTCAAGGCGCCTACACCTTGTGTAGACAACATTCCGTCACAAACAGCTGGCTATCGTGCAAAGATAAGGCGGCATCGGCGAGACAGCTTCCTTGCGGCTTTCACTGCCACGCGTCATAATCAGCCATTACCCCGCAGATAACTCAGCACCAAACACACTTTAAACAGACAATCCGATTAGGAGACGGCAGCAGACGCGCCACTGGTGTCGGTTGCGAGCCATGTCCTGTAAAGTCTCGAGCCAAGCACAAGGTGAGTCACGTGGACTCCAACCCGGAAGGCGAGACGGACCAACGGCACCCAGTTTGGTCGTCAGTGACTTCATTTCCCTCTGCCAAGTCAACTTCTGTCCACCTCGAGCCTTGCGCCATCCTACACCTGGTAGACTGAACAAGGCCCTCCTGGGTAAGCGGTGACCAGGCATGCGTAGCACGTGCCCGAGCCAACGCAACTTATTCAGTGCTATCTGTTGTTCTAGGGAGCTAGCATGATCATCACCACCTAGTACTCGCCTACGCACATCATCGTTGCGGACACGCTGGTGCCATCCGACACCAGCAATGCTTCGCAAACAACGATGATCAAAGACTTGAAGGCGTCTCAGATCTTCAGACCGAAGGGGCCAAGTTTCACTACCATACAGCAGAACGGCCCTCACTGTGGCCTTGTATACACGGCCTTTCAGACGGAGGGAAACTCCCTTCTGTCGCCAAAGATGACGCAGGTTCAAGAAGGCAGCTCTGGCCTTTGCAATGCGTGAGCTCACATCAGTTTCTATGCGCCCATCATTGCTGATGCAGCTGCCAAGATAAGTGAATTGATCAACCACCTCGAGTTCCTCGTTAGCAAGCGTCAAGGGGTCATCGAGTGGCTGGTGGTCCTGCAGCAACACTTTGCACTTTGAAGGTGCGAAGTGCATACCAAATAATGGGACCACTCTGGATAGGCTATTCAGGGTTGATTGTGCTGCCTCAACATTGTCGAAAAGCAAGACGATATCGTCCGCATAATCTAGATCAACTAACCGTTCACCAGGCAGCACTTCAACACCTACATCGTGAGATTCCGCAAGGGAACACTCCATGATAGAATCCACGACGAAATTGAACAAAAACGGGAAAATCGGGCAACCCTGACGAACGCCACTTGTAGTCGAAAAGCTATCCGATAGGGCACCATAGACCCTGACGCGGCCTCTAGTGTTCGAGTATAGAGCACGAAGGATGTTCACATATTTCGTGGAAACACCTTTCCGCGCAAGTATTTCGAACAGAATCGATCGACCGACTGAATCGAACGCACTCTTGAAATCGAGGAACACAGCTATTGTCGGTCTGTGGTATGCGTGGCGCTGCTCTAGCACCTGCCGCAAAGTAAATATATGGTCTATACAGCCACGTCCTGGGCGAAAACCGGCCTGCTCTTCCCTAATCCGAGATTCCCGTTCTGCAGTGAGGCGACAAACGATAATCGAGGCCAGTAATTTTGTCACAACTGGCGTTAGGCTAATACCCCTGTGGTTCGCACAGTCTGTGCGACTGCCCTTCTTGTATATTGCCACTATAATCGATTCGCTCCAATTAGCCGGGACACTCTTCGTTCCAGATACGTTCGAATAGGGAGGTCAGTGCTTTGCAGAGGACCTCACCTCCATCCTTAAATAGTGCAGGTGTGAGGGAATCCGGGCCAGCGGCACGAAAACGATTGAGGGCTGTGATCGCGTTTCGGACCTCGGCCTCCGACGGAGGCTCTAAACTAACCGTCCATGACTCGTCCTGCATCACCTGAGTAGGAAGAGGTCCGGGAGCAGGGGGCCAGCTGAACTGATGTTCAAAGTGTTCAGCCCAACGAGCCGTACGGCGTTCCTTATTGTGTATCAGCGCACCCGCGCTGTCCCTGATTGTCTCACTGACGCCTGGTTTTCTCGGACCAGTGGTGCGTATTATCTGGAAGAGCTTGCGGTAATTGCCTACTGCTCCTGCCTCCTCCATTTCTTGAGCCCGACTGGTCCACCAGGCTTCCTTGTCAGCACGTAGGCTCCGCCTTAGTTCACGCCTAATAGCCCGTCTGGTCACATTGTGTTCAGAACCAGCCGGGAGGTGCCTTCTAGCTTCCAAAAGGTTCACGGACCTCTCGGATATCCAGTGACTGGTGCGATGACGACTGATAGTGCCACAAACAGATGCTCCTGCGTCGTGCATAGTGGCCGAGATCCTATTCCACTGAAGTTCAGTGTCATTAGGTCAAGACAGCGAGAGTTCGCTATGCAGTGCTTCTTGATAGGCTTGCCTGACAGAGGGCTGGGACAATTTCTCCGTTGCCAATCGGGGGAGACGCTTTGTGCGCCTTCCGGTAAAGTTCATGGAGAAACGGCAGCGCACCAAGGCATGGTCAGAGTCGACACAGGTACTCCAGTACGAGCGGCAATCCAGAATGGAACCGCGCCACCTGTAACTTATGGCTATGTGGTCAATTTGAGTCCATCGCTGGCCAGCTACAGGTGGACGCCAAGTGGCACTTCGGCGCCCATTGTGTCTAAAAGCAGTGCTAATAAGAAACAACTGGTGCTCCGCACACAGTTGCAGCAGACGCTCGCCGTTGTCAGTCCGTTCGGCGTTAAGTCCATACTTACCACCCAGCCGAGCTTCTGAAGAGCTCAGACGCCCTACTTGTGCGTTCATATCCCCTGCAAGTACTATAATATCTGAACTAGTAGCACTGCATAGCAGCGTGTTCAGTTCGTGATAGAAAGTGTCCTTGACTGCATTAGAACTGCAGTCGGTGGGAGCATAAGCAGAAATCACAAACAAACAGCGTTTTGTTTTACTTCCCGAATTCACCATAGCTGATGTCGTCAAACGGGCTGCACATAAACGGCTGTTCACCGGAATCCAATCAACCAACGATGACTCAGCCTTGGAGCTGAGAATGATACCTACACCAGCTTGACCAGTGAGTGCCGCATCGGCGTCTCCGGATGCGTGCAACCAATAACGAGAGGATAAGCCGGGTGCAGTCAATTCAATAACCCTGTTAGGGTCATTAATCCTAGTTTCGGACACACAACACACATCAACACCCAGTGTGTCCAAGGTGCGTGCGAGTGCAGCCTGCTGACCTGTTTGTCTTAGAGTGCGGACGTTGAATGTCGCCATGGAAACCGGACAGCGTGGCCTTATAAGGGACTTTTGCCGATTAGCGTCCGATAAGTGCGGTGGGATGATGGGTGCAGATGATTCTACTCCAGTGGCACTTCGGTTGCTGTCAATTAAGCTGGGAATTATAGGAGGGAGGTTAGTAATGGGCGTCGGGATGGGAGTAAAAGAAACAGGTGGAAAAGAAAGAAGGGAGGCGCCAGCAGTAGCATGTTTTCCCTTATCCGCCCTGCTGTATGCAGCAGATAAGGCGACCCTTGATAATCTGCGCGACGGCCGATGCAGGATGAAGTTTATGTTTGAAGAAAATGTTATGGTTGTATGTGGGCTGAGATACTGCCAGCGCGCCCAGACCTAGACAGAAGAACGATTAGGGTCCTCGAGAACGATTAGGGTATGTGAAAACCAAGTCGCCTCGAAGCCGCCTGTAATACATGGAAAACATATTTAATTTACGTAGCCTCTCCGGGTACGTCAGATTCTTTAATCCGTGCACCATTTTCGTCCCGGAACGCAGGACTCGTTCAACTGCCATCTTACCACGAACCAGGCATGGAGGACAAGCCTGAACGCAGTATTCCAAGTGCGGCGTTACAAAAGCCGAAAATAGTCTAACGAACATTTCGGTGGTCATGGTCCCGAATGACCTGCGGATCATCCACAACATGTTGAAATCTTTGTGAGCAGCTGTCGTCCAGTGTTCACTGGACTTAAAGTCGGATGACAACAAAACACCGAGGTCAGATTGGAGTTGAACTAGCGGTACCTCGTTGCCGCCAAGCAAATAACGCGTCTGTGGGTCATTCGGACCAACACGTAAAACGGAACATTTCGTTAAACTAACGGGCAAGTGCCACAAAATTTACCAGTCCCAAAATCTATCCAGAGCCCCCTGTAGGGTCAGTGAACCAATCGGATCGTCTATCGTGAAGCAGTCATCCGCATACATTAGGGATGGCACACCCAATTCATCAGGTAGGTCATTAACTGAATACTGAATACGTATAAAGTGAAGAGAAGGGGGCCAGAGTACAGCGCTTTAAAAAGACCTAGAGGCAAATTGGTCGAATTTTTCTGATCAGTGAAGCTAGCAGTCCACAGACAAGAGCATCGTAAACGCCTTTACGAATCCAACATACTGCTCATGCGCTTGCTTCGGTTTGCAGAAGTACAATTCAGATATCGAGGAACCACGGATCATCTTTACTTCACTGACATGCAGAAAAGGAGGTTTACCGGAGCCAGCCTAAACAAATCAGCATGCAACCGACCCCAACAGAAAGAACACAAATAATACGCTTACCTATGACTGCAGGTTTTGAATACAAATCGGTTTTGGTACGGTTTTATAATGGCAACGTTTCGCCCTTGACGCAAGAGCTTCTTCAGGTCAGGGCGAATCGTTGCCATAATAAAACCCTACGAAAACCGATTTGTATTCAAAACCTTCTGAAATCATGAGATCCTAGTCAGTTCTAGGCATATTCTGAGATACTGAATACGCATACCTAGGTATATGGAAAAGTAAAAGTGAAATACATGCCAGAAAAGTCTAAAGAGGCGCATAAATGACAAAACTTACACAGGTTTGGAGGCTTCGCTAGTTGCATTGTTTATTAGTTTTATATTTGTAGCATCTTCGTCTACGGAGCGTATATCGGTGTGGACACGCAAATGATGACGGGCGTGAATGTCGGTGAACAGGCGGGCTTGGACCACATACTCCGCATAGTCTTCCTGAAAAAGTCTACCGGCTTCCTCATTTAACGCAGATTCCGGATTGGGATCAATTAACAAGCATCTAATGACCTAGGCAGCTTATACGCTGAAACAAACCAAGTTTACCAGGAACACGTGCCTTAATCCCAGGTCAGACTTCCAATCTCTTTTTAGTGTGTCCACGCAAATTTCACCAGTGTTCGGAGCGACGTTTGGGTGGAATATCTTTGTGTGAAAGTATCCTTTCGGGGGGTCGACAGGATACTTATCAGACAGAAGGAGTTTAAAGTGGAACTTCCCTCCCTCATAGGGAGTACCAACAGGTCCATCAATGACAGCCTATGAAGTTAGAATGGGCGTGAGAACGTACTTGAATATCTGTTAGATTTTGATCATTCACGATTAACTTCATCCCTTCTATCGGATTATCAACAGCCTCCCTCAGTTCTTTGTTGATTAGCCTTAAAGTGTGCGGGTAGACGTTCTCCATCGCCAACACTGCGTATCAGCCGTATTAGTACGTCAGGTTAGGTCAGGTCATGTTCCAAGGACGTTACCAAGTTCCACCATATAATGTCAGCGTTCCACCTGTCTGCCAGCTGAATGAACGATGGGAAGGTACCTTTCATAAATCGTTTGTGAGCAAACGCATTTAGCTGAGTTTTGAGTTGAACACCTTTCTTACTAATTTTTTCATATTTGTTACGAATAATGTAGATACAAGAAACTTATAGTTTCGGCACTACGCTTAAGATAATTGCGGTCCAATATTTGGTAAAAAATAATAGCTTAATATGTTATATGTCCATGTGTTTTGTCAACTTTGTCAGCACTGGTGACACCTATCCTTTACTTTTTACTTCTTGTTCAGGTTTGACCTTGAAGCATTAACCCACTGTTTGGCGTACTATTGTGATAGACGATCGAGTTGTTAATTGTGTCCATTGGTTCATTGGTTAGTAGAGATCAGAAGGAAGTTCCTTTGTCAGCTCCGTCAACTTCCCGGACATTGCGAGGGTTGCTGGGATCTTTGCGGAACAAGGTTCAGCAGAAGATCGCTTTGGTTGTATTGTGGGCAGCAGAATCCTTGCGCACTCAGAGGGTGAGTATCAAACCGTCGTTTGAAATATTCCTCCGTCGCCGCATCGACGGCAGCTTCTGGCAAGCCGTTCCAATCTTTCACTACCCTGGTGGATAGGGCCAGATCTGACCGTACACGGAGTCGCCGCGGTTTGAAAAGTTTCCACCGGTGGTCTCGAGTTGCACAACTTGTGTTTAGACAAAAGAACGATTGCAGCTCAGTCCCTAGCTCACCTCGTAGAATACGCTGGGTGAATATCATATCTCCGCGGCGATGACGATAATCCAAAGAGAACTGGTTCAACCTTTGAAGCCGGAAGAGGTAGGTTAATTCCCGAAGCTCTGGAACGGATTTAGATCCACGCCGTACATGAGAAGCAAACAGTAATCTGAAGAGTGCTGGGGTCAGGCGTAAAAAGGCTCTCCGTATAGCGTGAAGTATTCTGTATGCGGATGCGACCCTCTTCTGGGTGTCCTCGATTGAGTTGAGATCAGGAGACACAATCACCTTTAGGTCCCTCTCTTGGTTGACATTTCTGAGAAGGAAACCCTCGATACGGTAAGCCCCAAAAGGCTCAGGAGCACCGATTGGAAGGATTGCGCATTTGTCATGGTTAATGGGCAACTGCCACTTTAGTGACCGATCGTGGAGCTGACCGAGTGTCGCTTGAAGTACGTCTGCATTTTCCAGACTGGATACCTCAATCCACAGCTTCAGATCCTCCGCGTAGATTAAGCAGTCGGTCTGCAGTTCGGATGGCAAGTCGTTGATGAAGATATCGAAGAGTTCGGGGCCGAGTACAGAACCCTGGGGGACCCCACTGGTCATGAGAATTTGAGCAGCAAGCGCTTCGTTATCTTTGACCTGCATGAAGCGACCTTGTAGGAAATCGGAGACCCATGAAAGAAAATTGCCAGTGACGCCGATTCCCCGGAGTTTGAAGAGGAGCCGCTCATGTGGCACCTTGTCGAAAGCCTTACTGAAATCGACAACCACAGCATCCAGACGCTTACCGGCATCTAAGGATCTTGCCCATTTTTCCCTAGCTACCAGCAAATTGGCAGCACATGAACGCGCCCTTCGGAAACCATGTTGGGCATGAGATAGGATCTCCAACTCATCGAGACGTAGGCGAAGGGCCCGTTTCAGAATCCGTTCCATGACTTTGCACAAAATCGAAGTCAGACATATGGGACGATAGCTGGCTGGATTCTGCCGGTTCCCTCCTTTGTAAATGGGTTTAACCGTCCCCATCTTCCAAGCAGTTGGAAGCCGCCCGACCTCAGGGGAACGACGGAAAATTTGACATACAGGAGCGGCAATGTGTCCGGCCACGGTCTTAAGGAACAATGGGTGTTGTCATCACCGCAGTTCCCGCTTCTAGTTCAGCTCTGCGCTGTTGCAGAAAAACAAGAAAACGGGAATGTTTGCTAACCTGTCTAAATATTGTTCACTACATGTTCCTGCCTGATTTCGGGTGCTTCCCGCATGGAATATTACAAGTTGGCGCTCCTGCTTGGGAACAGCACTGTATGCTGCCGTAAACAGTAAAATACACCAATGTGAATAACTCTGTGGTTATTGACGCTGTCAAGCTTTCTATATTTTGGGATGCTATGATCCAGGTTTTGAAAGATTATCAACCATGTTGATCCCTGCAGCCAACGGGCAACCCTGCCTTCACCGGACGTTTTGTTACTGGGACGCCGTATGACCGCTGGATGAAACAAGCCTTGAAACTGGCCTTGAACGGTATTGGCTCCGCTGAGTCAACTCTACTACCCCTACTCTGAAGGACTTATAGACTGGTACCCTCATTATTGTTATAGCCTCTTTCTTATCTGTATTTTACGAACTAGTCCCAAAGCGCCGATTAATCCAATACCGCTTCGTCGGCCTCGTATTCACTGAATTCATTTGGACTTCTGAGACATCATTTCTATTCGTTTGGCTGACCCATCAGTCATTACTCGTCATACCAACACGGAGGTGTAAGCGCGAAATGATTACCTGACGAAGCGTTCGACATTAGCATGGATAGTCATATCCAGAAGAACGGAATTACCACGGAAGCGTTTGAAATTTCGTGTCGGCTGTTGCATCGTCCAATACTTCCGAAGGAGGTTCGCTAGTAGTTCTATCTTCAGCTAATACCTCATCCTTACTCACTAGTCTGCAGTAATTCCATGTTCGTTATTAGCATGAGTGTGAAACCGTTGAAGCTTACGGCGAGGAATTACGCAAGCTCGTGCGTGTTGCTTACGTAAACGAAACAGCGGAGCAATGCGAACAGCAGGTATTAGAACAACTCCTCTGGGGCGTTTAGACGCTTTCGGTCAAGAAGAAATTTCTGCTATATCCACCTGGGAAAGTTACTGTAGCTGTTTATGTGAGCAAGCTGTGGGAATGCGTAGACGCGGCAATGGGCACCGCTTTTACAAATCCGGCTGCGGCCAGCTGCTCAGCAGCCACGACGCACAGCGATGCAAATACATGCACACGGACTTCAAAGTCAAACTCGCGATGGTAGCCCCTATTGTATTCAACAACGTGGAGACCAAACAATGGAAAACAACCGTGCCTGCCCCATGGACAAATATCAGTACCTAATGTCAGGCAGCAAGCTAAACTATCAACGTTTCAACCTGGCCCCCGAGAGCCCCGACTACAACATTTTACCCATGGACTTCCCAGACCGATTCAGGATGGTGCGGTTCCTTCAAGTAAGTGCGCTCGCGTACAAACTGGGTTTACACCCATCGTTATTTGTACGTCAACTACAGCTTTAGTGGTAAAAATGGACTTAAGGTTCGTAGGGCTTTGGTTATTAGGTCTCATCGACACGAGTGCATTAAGATCCTAACTAGACCTAACCTATCTAATCAGCTGGTAGAAAGCGCATGTCCTTGCCGCTAGCACTTAACGGCCCGCAATATATAATCGTTATCCGCTACAGACTCCCTGACCGCACGGTTTAACAGGTAGTGTTCCACCAGTCTGTATTACAAACGGATATAAGAAAGGGATTTTATAAACCTTTTGTTGTGAAAGCACCTATAACTGCCATTAAAAATTTGGACAACTGTTTTATACCTCAAATGTTCTTCATGTAATAATTTTTTTAACTCGATTTTGTAAACAAAGTGTAAAGTTCGGTTTCCGACATAATGCTTACATACCGGCTGTAGGGCAGTACATATACCTCTAATAGGTGGGTTGCATCCATATACATTCACATCTCTCGTTATGTCAGCCGTGCTGTATTAAGTTGAACGAGGTGTGTGGTGAGGAATAACAGATGGATGGACGCTGAAATCACGAGAAGTCACGCTATAGTGCACAAAGTACAAGACAAGACACACGCTAGCCTCCACAGACAGTCACACGTCGTCTCGACGTTCAAGCACTACGGGAGCACGACGCGAAGAAAAACACGAGATGAAACACAACTATTGTATCGAAACTGATACCGGTTTAATCGAGCCGGCGGAAGGTACAGGCATATATAAACAACCGGTTGGTTCGTAACAATTCAAAGGAGCAAGGAGTTATTCCATGAGTTCAATGTTGTTTTGTTCGTACACACCCGTATGTAAACGGAACGAAACAGGGTAGCAATAGCCGTCTATTCGAAACTCAATCGCGGCTGCTATTTCGTTCTCGTAATTAAACGCCTATTGAGCAAGCTGACAGATGGCAAGTCAGTAAAGTAAAATAAAATAATGTTTTGTTGCTAGATATAGAACATGTAATCTTTGTGTTAAGGAAATTAATCTATTCTCGCCTATTTGATTCGGCAGTTCCGCGCTATGGACTGGTGGAACGCTACCGGGTGGCCATTGGGAACCAGAGCTTCACCCATGGAATTATTTTTGCAGATGATTGCCCGTTTGCTTTTGTTGTTGGGTTGGAAAAGTTGCGTCGTTTGAAGTCCCATTTTTCAACTGATTACATAACAGTTTATAACAGATCCATACTATTATACTTTCCAGCCCTACTGGCGGTGACTTGCGAAGGTAAGTCAATCGACCTTAAAGACATTTTTACCAGACAATTCAACCTTGCTTATAACCTATACCAGATAGCATTTATCTTCCTAGTTACAAGACAAATGACTATCATTTACGCTTGCTCAATGAGGAAAAATAGTGCGCAAAACCATGTAAACACAGTACGCAATACCGTTGTGGTCACAACCAGTTTCGAGGAACCTGTGATTTGTCGCAAACATTCCGAACCACCTGGGATACAAGAGCAGGTTAATGAAATGAAAATACCAGTGGCTGAGCGTTCAGTTTGGTTGTCTACTTTATATCTTCTCTGCAGGCCAAGATAAACATGTTAGAGGAACAGGTACTTGAACTAAATGGGCAGCTAAAGTGGTTTGAATCATTTGAGAAATTCCTTATATCAGTTTCATACTTAATTCACGCTGCAGCTAATCCCTGGCCAAAACAAACATTGGAGCATGAAACATTCTGACTGCAGCCCTTCTTAGGTTACACAAAGAGAAAGAAGAGGGGAAATATCATCGTTTACAGCAGAGC